TACTTCTGTCTGAAATTTGTGCTGATGATGTCGTTCAAAATAATTTCGATGACCAAACCATCTAGCTCAGGGAACAAAGCTCCACCAAATTCACGCACCTAAGCTACGAATCTCTACCATTCATCATTCTTTTAGTATTAAACAGTATCCAAAATCCTATATGCCAATAATCATCGTAAAATATGTTCTTCATGAACTTAGAGAATGTGGTTAAATCGATGTGAATACTGATACCCTATTATTGCCAGAGTACTTCATTTTGAAATCATTTCATTGATTAGGACTCGGCATTATTTGCAAAATCATATGAAATAAATGTTACTCTAATACTTTGAAATTTGAATATTTACTTGTTTTATCTCGTTTGTCTACACTGGTTTTATTGCTATATCGATTACACAACTCATAATTTTATCGATTTTGAGGTGCCTTCTTTTCATTAAAACTGGTTATGTGTTGCTTGTTTATAATTGAAGTCAGCTGACATCTTAAAATCGACTAGATATCACCTTGAATCTTGTTTTATTGATTAGTAGATAGATGTATTTTGATGTTACTTCATTAAAAAAAAATAATCATGAATGAGAAAATTTTAACTATAAACTTTTCTAGTCACGTTCAACTTGAAACTATATGAGTGAATACAAATTAAGCATAAATCTGCATTAGTAACGGGGAAGTAAACTAACTCCATAAATCCATTGAAACTTATCATTAAAACTTATAAGTTTAAATGTAGATACTTAAATGCCTAAGGAGTATGTAAATAATTCGTCATGACACAGAGGGACTAAGAGAGAATTTGATTTGGAAACAAAGTAAAAAAATCTCGAGAATTCTAGAAAAAAAAAGCAAAACATAATCAGATCGAACCACGAGTCTATCATTTTTTTCAGTTAAGTTCAACATGCAAGGCAGTTTTCACTTTTTAAAATTAACACTTATTTCATTTGATTTCTAATGTTTTGAATTTGTTAGAAACACTGGTTGTGTTATAAACTTCAAACAAATCAGTCAGTTACAACTTAGGACCAAGCAAATATGTACATTGGTCCATTGTGATCGATTCTGAGCCATGTCACCCAGTCTCCAACCATCGTTTACGATAGTCACGTGGACCATAAACAAGTAGTCTGCATCTACCAACATGGCTCAGACTACAAGTTCGGATTGCATTGAGAATGTTGTCAATATACAGAATATTCTGTATAATCTTTACTGTTAGAAAGTAGGCAATAATCAAAGATATTTTGTTGCAGTTTTATTTGAAGTAGTGATACAATTATTCTTATGTACAGGTTGCCAAATAAAAATAGTCGTTTAGTTTTAGGTTTTTCTTCAACGTTTATCAATTGAAGTAGTTGATGACTTTTATTGATTAGACACTGCTATTTGGATGAGCATTCGTATCTTATCCTTTTCTTTCTGTGTTTACGCGTTCCATACCACATTAATCAATAACCTTGCTTATTAACTACTTATTTAGATTATTTATAGACTACTGTCCATTTTACCTTAAAGGTTAATGACCGATTGATTTGTATAAGATTCACTTCTATAGATAGCAAAACAGAACTTTGGTTTGAATTCGGTATATGCATTACAACATTGTGACGTTCAATGTGTAATATGAAACTAAAATCATTATGAGATCATCTATGTTGTGTTTATGTCCACTCTAAATGATAGTGAACTTTTCTCTCTTTTTTAGACTGAACAATATTGATCTAAATCTGTGATATTAATTATTGAATTAAGGTTTATCTCAGAAATAAATTCATAAATAAACATTATCTCCAGCATTAAGAATGTCTATTGCGCATATATATACGCTCATACACCACTTTACAACATTTTTGAAATTCTTTAAAATGAAGAATAAAAAAATAGTGAACTATATAACTGTCTGCTTCTGTGTACGACTACATTATTAAATAAATCATTGGACATACAAGACAGATATAAATAGATGATATGTACTGACTCATCTGTAATGGTTATTATTCATATACAAAACAAACTCACTATTGATCTTATATCCTTACTGTTTTCATGCTGATTGTTATTTTTCTAACTTAAAACAATAATCGTTTAAACAATACAATACGGGTATCAATTGCGTTTGTTATGTTTCTTATACACAAATCTAAATTGGATAATTATTCTGACATGTATCTATGCATCTACCTATTTGTATTGTGTTTGGTCAATATACTTGATCAAAAATATTTACAACTACTGATTAGTATCAGAAGGGGTGTTGTGGAGATTGTAGTAATCTCAATAGTTGAGATCATGAGTCAATTGAAGCTAGACCACTATGGATAACCTGGAAGAACTGGACGGTCGTTTCGTCCTATTGTGAGAATTTTCAGCAGTGTGCATCCACGACCCCACCTCGCGGGATTCGAACTCAGGACCTATTAATTTCGCGCGCAGGTGCTGAGTCCCACAATAGGACGAAACGGCCGCCCAGTGCTTCCAGGTTTTCCATGGTGGTCTAGATTTAATTGACTCATGATCTCAACTATTGAAACTACTGATTAGATGAAAACAATAGAACAAATAATTTTTTTGAATATATCTTATTTCACTCAGCTAATCTTTCCAATATTTTAAGGGATAAATATAACTGACAATAAGAAGCATTCCCTTGGTAATGTTGATTTGACGATTATTAGTACTAAATAATTATAGAGCGCAGAGTTATTTTGGCTTAAAGCTACACTATAAGAATGAAAGCTAGTAATACTATCCGGTTGCTTAAATAGAAGTTGGCAAATCAGCGAACAACTTCGCCTGTACCTCTCCTACAGTTAATGACAGTCCCAAACCCACACAAAGGAGGAGGGTTGAGCATAGGGTCAGTAACCCTATCCCGTAGACATAAAATCTTGCTAAAAGACGCCAACCAGTATAAACAAATCAAGTCGTTTAAACTCTGTATTCTGAGTTGAACTATCTTCGTTCAGAAGAATTATGACGCCTCATGGTGTAAGCCCAGATTCACAAGACTGATACCCGTCTAACAACGAGAGCAACAATTAATATAGGTATATAGAACGTTCGGACAATGTGGGAGATTGGAGGGACTGATCAAATAGCTGTGGAAATGAGAAGAAACTATATGGCGGCTCTCGGAATAAGTGAAAACCACTCGACCCAAACTGGACAGAAAAGATTACATCCCGGAGAGATGCTGCTGCACTTTGATCAGGAACAAGAAAATGCTCCACACACTCAGGGAGTTGAACTGATGCTATCTAAAAAGCACGAAAGGCACCTATTGGGTGGAGGAATCTCATGCATCCTTCAAAACTGGGAGGAAGAAGGCAATTACAATGCATGTTATCCCATGCACACACACGAACAAATGCAGGTCGGAACAGCCAGTATAGCAGTAGCCTCTGTATCAGTAGGCCTCAAAAAGCAACATCCTCAAATACAACACAGAGAACACCAATCCAATCACACTTGATGAAGAAGCTTTGGAAGAGATGGAAACTTCCAACTACCTGATCAGCATCATCGATGAACACGGAGGATCTAATGCAGACGTAAAGGCGAGGGTCAAAAAAGCAGCATTGAAGAACAAATGGAAATCAAAACAATTGTCAACCAATTACAAAGACACAATCTTCAATACGAATGTCAAGACAGTTCTACTATATGGAGCTGAAACGTGGAGAACTACTACAGTCATAATTAAAAGTGAACAAGTATTTACAAACCATTTACCATACAAGATACCCAATCTCCGGTGATAGGAAACAATCAGCAACAAACTATTGTGGGAGAACAAACCAGCTTCGAGCTAAAGAGGAAATTAGGAAAAGACGCTGGAAGTGGATAGGACATATATTGGGGAAATCATCAAACTGCATCACGATGCAAACGCTAACTTGGAATCCTGAAGGGAAAGGAAAAGAGGAAGGCCTAAGAACACACTACGTTGGGAGTCGGAAGGATACATGAAAATGACGAATAACAACGGAAACAACTAGAAAAAATTGTTCAAGAGAGAATTGAACGAAGAATGCTGGTAGGCGACCTATGCTCCTCCACGAGGTATAACAGGTGTAAGTAAGAGCAGCGATCGCACATAGTAATGATTTGATAAATTCATCTTTTTTAACTAACCTCTAATTAGTAAAAATATATTGATTTCAATGAACTTTTAAAAACACATTCATACAGTTGTGTGTACATGAAATAATATATATATATATATATATATATATATATCTTTGGTATTCGTTAAACTATATCATATGGTCTAATGTAGTGAAAATGTGAATGATGTCAACGCAATACTTGACTGAATTAATTAAAAATATATGTAATTGAACTGAGTTGTGATGAAAAAAGTAAATAAACTTTTAGCACTATTAATTTAAGTACACAAATCGATTGAAGAAACAAAGACACACAAGGTAGTTTTATAAACCTTTAGAGATGATTTTTGTTTAGAGCTAACATTATTAAGAAGGTTATCTTAAGTCCAAATTAAAACCCTTTAATAGTACATATACATGCAACTTTATATGGAATCTAACTGAAGACTTTCAGACGTCACAACAAATACAATTTTTTAATATATGAGCTGCGCATTTCTGAGGAGTCCCATACCAGGACGGAACGGCCGTCCAGTGCTTCCAGGTTTTCAGTGGTGATCTAGCATAGACCGACTCATGAATTCAACCATTAAAAATCAATAATGTGTTGATTGTAGAAATTTTCGCTACACTCTTTATTTATTTATCTAGGTAGTCCACCGTGACATTGATAATTTGTTTCCGTTTTATTTCTCCCATAACCTTCCAATATACGACTACGTGTTCAGACTTAACTCTATATAAGAAATTCATCAGAAATTGGTCGCCTTTAGTATTAAGCTTGAAAAAAATCTCAGATTATATTATGCATAGTGAAATATCATCCCGACTTGGTTAAAAAAGGCTTATTAATTGGCAGACGTTTATCAACATTGATATGATGGTCAGACTTTGTTTTTTAACGAAATCATAAATTATTCATCACAAATTGACATCGTAATTGTGTATTCATTAAAACTCATACCACTATAGATGAAATCGAAGAAACCTTTTCGAGTGATAAACCTACTACTTATAAGTAGTTAAGATCAGTGAATACACAAAGTAACTTAAACCGGTTCATGTTTTCAACAATCTCCACAATCCAATACTGAAAAATATTTATTCCAACTAACTTGATATACTGCTACATTGCTAAAACGACATGTCAATTCAAAATTAACACGTGAAAGCTTCGATTAACCCACACATATACATTCAGCATAAATAAATCAGGGAATATATATCATTTTTGCAGATAGAACTGAATACATATAAATATATACTTCCAAAGTTTTATACAGATATGCAGCCATACTCGCTTCGTTCTTATCCGTCTACCTAACTCCCATATGCTGCATTCCACCACCTTGTGGATGCATACGTGGTTGGCTAGATGACGTCATTGATCTTTGTTGTTGCTGAGTTTGATGATCTGGCATAGTATGTATACTACCAACAGTCCCCGTAGCACCACTACTACTTCCTGTACCAACAGCACCTGCACCCGATTGAACAACCATTGATCCACCATGATTTTGTTGTTGTGTCCCACTAGATAGATTAGATGATTGAGTTACAGAAGTACTATTACAACCCGTTAGATTGACAGAATTGCCAGATTGGTAATTTTGTGAAGTATGCGGCGATTGAATGACAGGACGTGGGAGTTTTTTTAATAATATGTTAGGCATTTCAGCAAGTTCATCAAAACGACGCCATAAATCATACAAACTAAGTAGATGACGAGAAATTTCCAACACCTAAAGTAATATGAAACAGCATTACCCAGTAATATCATAGAATCAAATCATCTTGGTGAGGGGAACAAGATAAACAATAAAAAACAGATTGAATGAAACACAATATATCGATATAATACAAAGTAGCTACTTTTAAAGGACGGAGAAAACCTAGCGAATAGAACTTTTTAGAGTGGAATACCATTCCAATAAAGTTGTAGATGTGAAAAGAATTTACAGTGAACGACTGAATTATTTGTTAGGACAAAAGTCATTTTTTACGCGGACAATCTTAATAATTTTGACTACCTAGAAATACCGATAACTATCAGTAGGGGGTTGTGGAAATTGTTGACCTTAGATTGATATCAGCGAATGACACCGCTGGATGCCGGCTCAGTGGTCTAAAGGTTAAGTGTTCGCGCGAGGCACCGAAGGTCCTGGGTCCGAGTTCCGCGCACAGGATCGTGGGTGAGCACTGCTGAGGAGTGCCATGCTGGGAGGAAACGGCCGTCCAATGCTTCCAGGTTTTCACTGGTGGTCCAACATTGATCCGTTCATGATATTAATCTGAAATACCGATAAGTTGTGACTGTGAAATTTCTGAAATAAAACTATACTACTTATAATTGACTAGATTTTGTTCCCTTTCTAGAGTTTTACTGGTCAATCTTAAGCTTACTGTTTTTTACTAGTTATCCTGTCCAGTCACATTGAGCCGACCATTTTCCTGCACGTATGAGTTGAGATTTCATTGTTAATGTCAGGCTGTTGTAGAATTTAAAAATACTGAGAAGCCAAGATGAATTTTTCCATTTTATTCGACCTCAGATGCGTTGTTTTGGTATTTCTAAAAATATACTACTTATTACTGAATAATACAACCTTAAGCATAGTTTGTCTCCTCCCATTATCTAACTTAATTTGCCAAATACTAGAAGTATTCATTAGTAGCTGAGTTCGAGTACTGATAATGCCAAAAATTTCGTAAAGTAAAATCTAATAATAATAGAGAAACATTCCAACAAGTGCTTGAATCTAATCATGATAAACAAATCTATCTTAAGCTGAAAAATATCTCAATCGCATTATTTTCTATGTTTAACTTTTGACTGTGGAATATAACAATGTCACAACCACGAGTATGAGCTCCATTACAGAAAAGAAAACCATTCCCATCGAAAAATTTGTTCAAAGGAATGCCTGGATGATGAGATCACTCTCATCACTAATGCTCTACGTGGAAATTCATACCCGTTGAAATTTATCCACAAATATGCAAAAACCATTCCTCAGGCAAAGTATGATAGAGTTGAAAAGAAATCTTGCTTTTTATATCTACGTTTCAAAGGAGATGAAATTGCTGGCTTAATTAATCGCAGACTAAATTACGCGTTGAAAGTTGCCTACCCAGCAGCAAAATTAATGACAGTATAGAAAACGAATTGCTCACATAAAGAAACTAAAATCGACAAGTCCTCTTTTCTTAGTAGCTCCAATTGCATTTACCAATTCACATGTACGTGCCAAAGCACATACATCGGAAGAACTGAGAGAAGAGTGCATATTCGCATTTCTGAGCATGTTCCAAAGAACTTGAGGCTACAAGGGACTAACGTTCTTAACAGTGCAATAACTCGGCATCTACTGGACACCGGGCATACCATTGGTATTTCACATGCTTTCAAAATTATCAATAGACAACGAAGTACTACTACTCTCCGTTTCGCGGAAGCGATTGCGATAAAAAAAACTTAAATCGGATTTATGCATTCAAAAAGAGACGTTAATAAACTTATCATTACCCTGGTAACCTTTTGTGTGTGTGTGTGTGTTATTTTATTCACTTATTTTATTTTCAAAATATTTATTTTGGGTTATATTCCCCCCATTACCTAATTCTTAAACCAACTTTTCATTCACACATTTCCGCCCACTAATCCTCTTAAATTATGTTAACCTTTCAAATTCTGTTCAATTATTACGTAACCTATCTTATCACTGTTCTATTACCTCTAAAATAATTATCACACAATGTATAAACTCCATTCAACTATTACATTACCCATCTTTAATTGTTTCCTTAATTCTAACACCAATTAAGCTCTGACCTGTTCTAGAATATATATATAGTTATTATTGTAAACCTTTGCCATTCCAGTTATTTACATTCATTTACGCCAATTGTTTTACACTATCCCAATGTAAAAATATTTTTATCACATATTTGGTTGTAAGCAGCTGACGAGAAACCTCGAAATATTATGAATTCATACTATTCTGCATCAATATTTGTTCTTGCTTTATTCAAATACAATTATTTATTTCAACGATTGATCCACATCAAGACCATTATTCCGATATATATATAATTTGGTAATTAAATGCACTTGGCTTCCAACTACGTTTTATGTAAAGGCTAATGACAAGTCAGTCATAAACAATGTAGAACATGGCACGTATGTGCATCTGTTCAAATTGCCACATCATGTCAGCACAGAGGGATGAAATTATCAAGACGAGTAACAGCAGTTAGTCGCTTACATGTGATTCGACAAGAATGAAAGAACCAAGCGAAAACGAAGAGTAAGTAGATTTGCCCCATTACGACCAATTTTGAGCCACAACATTCGTCGTCTCCAACCACTGGTTAGGATGATTACAAGGACCTCAACTAGGTAAACTGCACTTACTAACATGGCTCGACCCAACATAGTAAATGACTTCATAGACCGATGGCATGTTTTGGCTTGACTGCCTATATATTTCATCCAACCTACTGATATACCAGTCATCATCATGCGTCCAGATAGGTGATTATTGGGCATACTTGATACATATTACAACCACCTCAGTGTATGAAGGTTCACTACCTCATCAACTGATTTCTCATTTTTTTAACGACACTAAGTAGTTATCTAGGCAGAAGTGCAATGAATTTCAACCTAGTAGTTGAAAGTCGAATGCTTTAACCACTGACCAATCGGCCAAAACTCAAAATCATGGTTATCATTACATATTTGCTGAAAGATCAGTTGTCAGTGTATATATGGAGTTGTGCTCACCAAACCAACTTCACCTGACTAATGTAATAGGTTGAATTTAGATGACATATATATGTCTAATAGTTGTCATTGATTATGGCTTATCAACAAAATAAATACAAATCATCCAGCATAAGGTACTTCTGCGATGTGTTAAACTATCTCTGTGTCTTGAATAACGAGCGAGCACACTGGATAAAATAAAAGGATTCATAATTAGAAAGATCAACAAGATCCCACGTAATGTTGAGCCGATAATAAAATCTCTCTTACCTTAGAAACAAAATCCACGTACCAAAAATATTTACTTGTTGCAAAGAAAAAACAGCACATATCCATTCAAATAAACAAAAATAAGTTTATACTCACTCTTTCCATATCTACATTTAATTCACTGAACCAACGATCAGCAACTAATGAAGGATTAACAGTTGATTGAGTTTGGTGTCCAAAATAACCATGTTTATTTGATGAAATAGACAAACTGGAATTCATAAATGATGATGAACTGATGTTGACGGAGCCGATTAATAGGTCAGGATTACTTGAAATAATCACAACAGCCAGTTGTAGACAACCTGTGTTTTGTTTTGAATAATAATATATTCTGAAAATTAGTATCGAGTACATAATAGTTTATGGACATGGTTGGGTTGACAGGAATTATTAAGTAATAAAAATAAAAGTAAGTTCATACTTTCAGAAAGAATGTAACTTCCAGGTTGTTCCAGATAAAATTGATAAAAATGTGAAATAGTGATTATTATGGAGGAAGAATAAGTTTTATAAGAATAATATTACAGTGCTTTATATTACAGATCGCATACACAACAGAATAAAAAACACATTTAACAAGCAGTTTGTTATCATTAGCATACAATGAAATGTTAAAAATGTGGCATGAATGAATTATAAGATAAATTTTGACATAAAAGACACTATATAACTGTCACAAAAAACTAATTTATTAGGCAAAGGAATGCTTTACAATGTAATGTTACAGTTGAAAGTGAGTAGTTTGTCCTAGTTTGCCAAGTGCTTTCATAGGGTCTTGTGTCTATAGACTCTTTTATGGAACCTTTAATCATTACCCTCACATAATAAAGGTATTTTTACCATAATGAGCAAAAGTGGGCATCAGTAAATTAAACCAAGTTGATGGCTTTGAGACCTATCTAGGGGGATGCGAAACTCACTAATGCATACAGACTCCAAGGTCCTGAAAGAACAAATGGCGTATGAATCTACTCTGGTCATTGGCTATCGAGAGATCTCATCACTTGGTGTTAATGCACTACATTGGGGATAAGATCCTGTAGTTAAAGGCTCGGGCACTCATTCAATTTGTAATGATTACATAAGTGGCCAGTTGTTCAAAAACTTTAATATTTCAAATGAAATGAAATATAGTAGCCAATCGGATCTTACATCCAACACATTAGAGCCTAAGAGAAATAAAGACTTAATAATATATATGGCAAAATAACATACCTAGAGCAATTATATAGGGAGGATAATGCAGGCACACGTCTGTTCGGAAACTATCATTTACTAGCCACCTTTACATATATCCGCAAAAAAAGATAATCGAAAATATATTGTAATCATTTGCAGCATATTTAAAACAAGTATACAATTAATTGATTTATTTATTAGTTCAGCTAAGATGTACGGAATAGAAAAAACCAGTTATCCAATAGTCCTAAGGTTTCAGTAGATCCTAAGATAGTAAGAAATATCTTAAAAGTAGTGGTAAAGTGAAATAATTCATTAATAAATATGAGTTTCCGAAACATGTGATAGGATTCCAAATTTGACAAAGTAGTGTGGAATCATATATACAGACTATGCAATCATAATTATGAATAAATGGAACGGTTAACTCGATAAAGGTATGATGACTACAAGTCTTGTACCAAAGTATGTAAATAGTATTCGACAATCGCTTTGAGTTTTTCAAAGCTCCTCTCATTCTAAAGATCAGTGTTGTTGGTTATTTTCCCTTTTGCAGTTGATTTAACCATACACATCATACAGTAACAGTGGTCTTGAGTGCTGTTAGAGGTATGAGAGCGGTTGTCACTTCCCGGTTGCCCACACCGTGGAAGGGCTCTCCTGGAGGTACCTGAAAAGGAAATTGGATTAGAGGTGGTCATAGTGACCTGAGAGCGTGACCGCAGTGCCCAAGGGACAGCTGCTTGAGGTCGGTCACACACGACCTTTTTATGAGTGATTTTTGTGTTAGCTCCGTACTTGTTGAGACCTTACCGACGGAGACGGATATCCGTGGGATAAGGCGAGGTGTGCATTTTTAGGGTCGACCTTTTCTAACCCCACCCCTCCTTGTGGGAAGGCAGCATCGCTGTCATGCTGGTTGTCTGAAGGAAACATCTTACTGCTGTCACACCTCTGTACAGTCAGCAGTACGACTTCGCCTTCGGACCTTGGTTTTGTTGCTTTTAGTCTTACCGCTCTTCAACCGACCTGTCTGGCATGGTAGGACCTTGAGGAACGGTTGTTCCAGCCAGTATAGCTCAGTTGCTTCATCACGATAGGCAAGCCCGACCACCACGTCAAGGTAGCAACAACGGTCAGGCATTTCTGTCTTTACATCATACAGTAAAGACAGAAATGTATGATAATGAGTATTAAAAATAAAGAATGACTGTATGGAGGATACGTTATGTAGAGATGGTACCTATTAATTTACTTGCATCTTCTCTTTTTTCTCTCGGATTATATCCTCTATGTCAGATCTTTCTTACTATCACCGGTACTACTGCTACTATTTCATCTTGCTGTGCTGATATGGTATGGTAACTTCAGCCATGTTGGGGGTATGGAATTCTTAAATACAACATAGAAAGAAAATGAATATCGATTTAAGATTAATTTTTGTTGCATTAATTAATTAAGTGTAAATTCTGTTTATAGACTTTCAATACATTCCTCACTTATTTGTGTTCGCTAAAATTATTCGAATCGTAAACTGTAATGATCATGATCGATAGATTACTAATTATCATAAATGTATTTTGGGTTTTACTGGGTCTTGGATCAACAAGCTTCTAAACAATAACTCAATTTCTTACTCTAGTTAGTGAGGCAGCAAATATGAGGCTAGCAATAGTCCCATTTACTGTATTGAAGCTGGATTTGTGAATAGCAGCTTATCGTATGAACAGATTAGACTGATCCACATATGCACCAGGTACTTATGTTACTTATAAACGACTGAGTTGGTGCGTTGTGACAATGCTGTGCAATCTCCTGAATTGGTAGGGTGCTGATATCCAATGATGATTAACTGTTGTTCGGACATAGAATGTGGATTTTCCACTTCTTCAGTGATCAAAGTAACTAAATGGAAATAAGATAGTTGGACTGATCATCAGTAAACGAGAACAATTTCGATAATGAAAATTCTCGATTACCGATACTCGCATATAAGATAAAATTATTAATACTGATTTGATGAGCTGCAAACATTATCGTGTATTTCCTCGAAAAATACTATACAATCACTTGGATCCTAAACTGAGACTAAATTGTATGAACCTGAAGTGTCCAGATTAGTATTCCACAAGCAACACTGACCACAATATACAGATATAATTCACAAGAAATACATAAAGTTTTTGGTTGAGACAAATAGCATATAGACCTTCGATATGTTTGTTTAATAATTTAAAATGTTCTGTACGAAAGGTTACAGGAAACGACTTACCAAGCACGCTCTAACAGTACGTCAGCATACTCATGCATTTGGGGGCGAAGTTCATCACAAAACTGTACCAACGGACGATAAGGATGAAAGACAACTAATGAACAATCCTAAAAATAAAATATTTAGAGAATTTCTTGAGAATTCTATTATGACTAAGATACAAAATGTATTACTGCTTGATGTGGAATGCAAGTGGGCAAAAAGCTTACGCCAAGATTTGGTGCTTGTAATTATCTCCCTCATAGATGCAAAGAAACGTTTAATGGCTCCAAAAACACCATCAATCACTTCCAGGACTACTGTACCCTATGAACCAAAGCTTTACACAATGGTATTGCACAGTTCATGACCATATATAAAATCACGATTGACAGAACCAAGGTTAGTCTCTCTGTCATAGTCGTACTTATTTTATTATTGGCAGGATGTGAATAGAAAAAATAGTGTCAACTCTCTGATCCTCATGACCAATATTTTTCCACGAATTATTTTTGACAATAAAATGCCATCACCCCCCATTTTCTTAATATCACAAATTAACCAAAACAACAATCTTCTCACCATTGCTTCAAGTAAAATAAATTCACATTCCAGTACATCTTGAGCGCGATATGGATAGCCGTAACCATCAGGAAAATAGATTAAATAATGACTATGAACTAGGATTGAGCGAATTAATAGTTTTGAAAAACAGAACTTACCCACATTACGACATGATGTCATTAGATTTTTTTGAGAAACTACACCAAATTCCTAAAATCGGTAAAGATTTGTTCGACATAATTTTTTTAGAATAAGCAAACCAACCTCAACTTTAGATGCTAAAAACAGACACGATGGAGCCATTAACCATGGGTCAATAGTCTTAAATGAATTGCTTTATTGTTACAGATAATATCCTCATATATGCAACCTACCGACTGTAAAATCTTTTGAAATATACTAAAGCGGTTGCAATTACTTGTTGACGGACTTCAACGCTTTTGCCAAATGCTTGAATGACTATAAAGATGGAAAAACAATTTTTAAATGAAAGTGGTGATGATGGTGCCAGAAATTTATGAGGTTTAAAGCACAACATACCATCAGTAAAAAAAAGCATCACTTTCTGATATTCTTCTTCGCTACCAAGAATTTTTAAATCATTCGCTCTATGTATCATTACATCTTGACGATCCAATAACCACTCTAAACTGTAAATTAAAGAATAAGTATGAATAAAAAAGATACTATGAAACAGAGGTGTAGCAATGTATGAAAACAGACTAATTTTCCTGTAAGTGGGTAACTTCTCTATATAACCTATTTTGAAATTGTTAGGTCCCGATAAGCATAATGAATGGTAACTTTGTGATCCATTTATGGACCAATACTAACGTATATTTTTATCGTATAATTGTTAAATAACTAAACTATTCATATTCATATTCCTCATATTATAAGCTTTATTTTGACCTAAGAACTACTATCATACGTTTTACTATTCTTGAATTATGCCCTGTCTATTGGTCACTGCCTCCCTCATTCACAGCCATATTTGGACAGAGTTTGTACAAATGTTATTTTCTATTTTATGGTACGTTGTGGTTTGTTTGATTGGTATATAAACAGAGTATGTTTGAAATACATGATTCATATTGCCGAGGCTGAGATTGGTGTTCTGCATTCAACTGGCTGGGCTAGGTGGAAAGCGAGACCAATCAGGACTCTAGGCTCCTCGCACGTGTTTTTTATTTATTTTATTTTTATTTGAACACAAATATTGGTACAAGAGGGCACCAAATATATATGCGCCACATAAAACAATGAGAATTTAAAGAGTAAGGAAAAAAGAAAGGAGGGTAAGGAGCGTAAAAAAAGAACAATAACGAACAGATTAGTGTAAGGTAGTGTAATAGTAGTAATAATGGGGAAAACGAAAAGGTACAATCAGAAGAAATCTTTCAGTTAAGGAAGAAACAATCACTTTTTATGAAGAAAGTAAAAGAAGGTTACAGCAGGATCGCCACTGGCTTCTATTCTGAGCCATATCTGATAACGTTTCTAGCCACTGTGTTGCACCATCTCTCAGACCCCAGCCAGGGAGTCGTGAAGGACCAACAGAAGCCAGCCCTTTGCAGCTTTCATACCCAGACACCATGTCATACACTGACCACCTCTCCGCTTTTTCCAACCAGTCCCAGAGTCGGCAAATAATGCACGACGTGGAATTCTCTGGGACGACATTTGTAGAACATGTTCAAGCCACCGAAGTCGGTGTTTCAAGATGGTGACACCAATTGCATTATCGTCTCTGTGCCCGAACACACGATGCCGAACCTCTGCATTACTAACATGGTGTTGCCACTGGATGTCAGCAACCCTTCGGAGACAGCGATGATCGAACACAGAGAGTCATCTAACATCCTCAGCTCGGAGAGGCCAGGTTTCACAAGCATAAAGCAAAACTGCTCTCACCGACGCGTTGTAGATCCGACCTTTTACAGCCAGACTAACATCATGAAGGCGCCAAAGATGGCCCAGATTGGCATAAGCCGCTCTGGTTGTGTGCCCTCACTCTGCCTGATGTGTTTGTATATAGGGCTTTTAGGATGTTAATAAACTTCTTAGGCACACCTTTCTTCAACAGACAATCCCAGAGGACAGTTCTGTCCAACGAATCGAAGGCAGCCCTGATATCAAAAAACGCTACGATTGTTGGTCTTTGATAAGTATGGCGGTGTTCTAACATTTGGCGGAGAGTGAAGATATGACCAATACATCCTCGACCAGAAGGAAACCCAGCCTGCTCCTCGCGAGTCAATCCTTCTCGGATTTTGAACAACCTACGAAGTATAACGGAAGCCAATAGCTTAGACGCAACCGGAAGTAGACTTATCCCCCGGTAGTTATTACAAGAACGACGTGAACCCTTTTTAAAGATAGGGACAACTATCGACTCATTCCATGACGTTGGTACTCTCTCTAGTTCCCAGATCTTTGTAAACAACGTCGTCAATCACCGCCACCTTTAAAAAGAGTCGGAGGTAAGTCATCTGGGTCCGGTGATTTGTAACGTTTCAAGAGTTGGAGATCCTTGCGGACTTCCGCCTCATTTGGTGGATCAGCCGTCACCGGCCATGGAGGGCAGGACAGTCTGACCGATGTTGCCGGAGCAGCAGGCCAGTTGAACTGCCCTTCAAAAAATTCTGCCCATCGTCCAAGACGTCGATGGATGTTAGTGATTGGCGTTCCGTCATCCTCGCAGATTGTTTCTCTCACACTAGACTTCTTGCTGCCAGTGGCTCGGATGAATTGGAAGAGCTTCCGGTAATTACCAGATGCAGCTGCTGCTTCCAGCTCATTAGCACGCTCCGACCACCAGGCTTCTCGGTCCTCACGCAAGCTTTGCCCGATTTCATTACGTAACATCCTTCGTTTGTGGTCAAACTCGCGGTCACCCGGAGTAGACCGACGGGCTTCAATGAGTTGTAAGGAACCAGAAGAAACCCAGTGCTTGTAAGCGGGACGTTTCACGAACCCACAACAGACTGTACCCGCCACTTTCATGGCGTTATGCAATTGCAGCCAATGCTTATCTATACTTTTCGGTGAAACGGTAGCTGGCCTAAAAGCTAGTTCTGTTTGATACTTACTAGCAACAGAAGTTGCAACCAACTTGCTGACACCAATCCCTTGGTGGCGGTCACTTCGTTGGCCACTGAAAAGTAAGGTGAGATTATCGCAGACCACGGCATGATCAGATTCCAGATGGGTACTCCAAAAGGAGCGGCAGTCCTGTAAACAACCACGCCAGCGGTAGCTGGTCGCATTGTGATCAATCTGAGTCCAGGATTGAGATGCGGAAAGGGGACGCTAAGTGGCACATCGGCGATGACTGTGCCGAAAGTTAGTGCTAGCCAGAAACAGGTTGTGGTCTGTGAATAGCTGCAGTAGACGTTCCCCGTTATCTGTCCTGCGACCAACGAGTCCCCATCGGCCACCTAAACGACTCTCTTCTGTGCCTAGACGCCCGACCTGAGCATTCAAGTTTCCGGCTAGTACTACAATATCTGTCGAACTCACTTTCTGGAGAACAGTTAACTGGTGGTAGAATTCATCCATGATTGCATCCGGGCTGCAATCTTTCGTGGCATAGGCGGAGATGACGAAAAGACATCGTTTCTCACGCCGATTTTTTCTCACTTTGATGGAACTTTCTAATCTAACACCACATAACCGACTGTTAATGGGGATCCAGTCGATTAGTGCTGCCTCAGCTCTAGTGCTTAGTGCGACACCAACGCCAGCAAGACCAGACGAAGATGCCACAGGATCCCCGGATAAACGCACATAAAACAAGCTTTTTGAAGCAACAGATGGAGAGCGAAATTGTAGTACTTAACCAGAGTCTTGAATACGGATCTCGGATAGACAACACACGTCAATATTAAGACTTTTAAAAGACATAGCCAGCCCTATCTGTTGTTTGACCTGCATAAGTGTGCAAACGTTGAAGGCAGCCAGTTTGAATGGTGCATGTGGTTTCAGAAAAACTGCTTCAGTACTCGTATTCGGTGGTAACATACAATTTTCAACCAGGTAGTCACTCGAGAACGTTTATATAGAGCCGAATTTCCACGATAGTCGAGCTGCTGTATAAGTCGAAAAATAAGGATACATAAAGTGGGAGTGAAAGAGAGTGAATAAATGACGTCGCAAATAATAATAATAATAGTGTGAATTGTCTGACGGTAAATCGCGGCGTGAATAGAGTTTTCAGAGAACATCATCATTTTCATTTTATTTGTGTGTGGGCTGTGATAATGCCCGGGTGCCCAGACCGAAGCAGGTGGTTTTCTTAGGGGGCCACACACCGAGCCTTCGACCTAAAGGTCTTCGTCCCATGGAAGCCGGTGACCGAGAAATTGGTTCATACGCCATTTGTTCAAGCAGGATACTGGAGCCCATGTGCACCATTGATTTGGAATCCGGTTATAGAGCCGGATGTTCGCTTTTCGTCCTCTCATTTTCAAACAACATATATAAGCGAACAATATTGTTTTCGATTAGATCCTCATCATTAGATCCTCATTTTCGTAAACAACAACCCCGCCACGACAAAGCCGTGAGTAGGACTTCCCTGGCAGAGGCTGTATACGCGTGGCCGTATCAGAGTATTTCGAAAGGGAGGGCTAACCCACCCCACTCTCGGGCTTATATCATCTATAAATATCTGTTAAACATAATGTTCCTCAAGGTCCTACCATGCCAGACAGGTCGGTTGAAGAGCGGTAAGACTAAAAGCAACAAAACCAAGGTCCGAAGGCGAAGTCGTACTGCTGACTGTACAGAGGTGTGACAGCAGTAAGATGTTTCCTTCACACAACCAGCATAACAGCGATGCTGCCTTCCCAAAACGAGGGGTGGGGTTAGAAAAGGTCGACCCTAAAAATGCACACCTCGCCTTATCCCACGGATATCCGTCTCCGTCGGTAAGGTCTCAACAAGTACGGAGCTAACACAAAAATCACTCATAAAAAGGTCGTGTGTGACCGACCTCAAGCAGCTGTCCATTGGGCACTGCGGTCACGCTCTCAGGTCACTATGACCACCTCTAATCCAATTTCCTTTCAAGGTACCTCCAGGAGAGCCCTTCCACGGTGTGGGCAACTGGTAAGTGACAACCGCTCTCATACCTCTAACAGCACTCAAGACCACTGTATTCATAATCAACCTACCTCTTCAATTCCTATTACTCCTCCTACATCGACTTTCAAATCTAAACTTCCTCTTTCGGCTTCCTCCTCAAGTGTCACCACAGCCAACGATTCTTGTGCGCAAAACTGTCCCAGGTCTACTGAAACCTCGCTCCAAACTACACATTGGAGCCTTCAACGTACGCACACTATGCCAAATCGGTCAGCAGGCTTCCTTGGCTAAAACCTTAGAATCTCGTACCATTGATGTATGCTGTGTCTCCGAAACACGCATACAGGATCCTAGTGTGGTCATTCACTTGACCTCACTTCGGCTTAAACGAAACAAAAAGACATTTAGATGGGTATTTTAGTATTCCGGCACAGAGAACAGATAATAATGATCGTCTGCTGCAACTGTGCTCAGACAATCGTTTATTTTTATCAAACACAAATTTTAAGCATAAGGAGAGACATCGTCTAACATGGCGACCCCCTGCACCAAACCAACGATGGACTCAAATAGACCATATTGCCATCAGTCATCGTTGGAGAGGGTCAATAGTAGATTGTCGCTCATTCTGGAGTTCCTGCTTGGACTCCGACCATGCCCTAATACGAGCACGCATCTGCTTGCGCCTCACTGGACGCAAAAAAGCCACACAAAAAAGACTCATTAGAACCGAATTGAGTAATGAGAAAGCCAAAGTAGGTTCCAGGAACAACTGAGGTCACACTTAGGTAGTTCTGAAAACGAGGCTGACCCAGACGTTGCTTGGAAAGTTATACAAGCAGCTGTGGAAACAGCAGTGACATCTACTAGTGATTTAAACCACACGGTTACAAAGAACCAATGGATTTCTTCAAGGTCTATTGCACTGATGGATTCTCGCAAACTCATCCCATCAGGTTCTGAATACGATGAAGAGCGTAAAGAAATCAGATCTCGATTAGGCAAAAGTCTAAGGAACGATCGTGAGCAGTGGTGGGCAACGAAAGCAAAAGACATGGAAAAGGCGGCGGCTATAGGGAACACAAGACAACTGTACAGACTAATAAAACAAACTGGAATTAATAAGTCAAGTGTAAGTCAGACCATTTCGGAAAAAAACGACACTCATCTGCTCCCAGTCCAGACATTTAGAACGATGGGTGGAACACTTTAAGGAGCAGTTTAGCTGGCCTTCAGCTACTCTACAACTAACCTCTATTCCCAGACAGTGTGAATGGAACATTGAAGTAGGTCCCTCATCTCTAGCTGAAGTTCAAAAGGATATAGTTAATCTGAAGCGAGGAAGGGCAGCTGGTCCAGATGGATTGGCCCCAGAGGTCTTTAAAGATGGTGGTCTAGTTTTAGCGACTAGGTTGACTAATATTTTAGCTAAAATCTGGGAGTTAGACGTTATCCCATCTAACTGGTCACAATCACTTATCGTTCCAATATTTAAGAAAGGGTCAAAATCATCCTGTGACAACCATAGAGGGATTAGTTTGACTAATATAGTATCTAAAATACTAGCCTCGATAATTATCGGACGTCTAACTAAGACTCGTGAACTGCAAACACGTGAAAATCAGGCTGGCTTTAGACCTGGTCGTGGCTGCATCGACCACATATTCACCATTCGTCAGGTTCTAGAACACAGGCATACTTATCGGCGTCCGACAATGGTGGTCTTCCTTGACTTTAAAGCTGTGTTTGACTCGGTAGACCGAGAGGTTCTGTGACAGTGTCTGTCATTGAAAGGCGTACCTCAGAAGTACATAAACCTTGTGAAGGCTCTTTACTCGAACACTACTAGTCGAGTCAGAGCTTATGGCGAACTGTCATCTGCTTTTGCAACCTCAACTGGTTTCCGTCAAGGCTGTCCACTTTCTCCATTTTTGTTTAACTTCATCACAGATCTACTGATGGAAATAACGCTTTCATCGACTGAATTCTCGGGCGTCGATCTCCTACCAGGAGGTCTACTTATTGACTTAGAATACGCAGACGACATAGTCCTGTTTGGTGAAGACGCTGATGAAGTGCAGTCTTTTGGTAGCACTGAGCAACAATGCCAGAATGTTTGGGATGCGCTTCTCTCCCTCTAAATGCAAGTTGTTGCTTCAGGACTGGTCTGCGTCAACACCTGAACTAAGGATAGGGAGTGAAGTAGTCGAACGCATTGGCAACGTCACTTATCTTGGAAGTCTGGTCAACCCTAATGGGTTGGTGTCTGATGAAATCTCAGCACGGATTCGAAAAGCTCGTTTGGCCTTTGCCAACTTACGTCATCTATGGCGTAGGCGAGATATCCGTCTATCAATTAAGGGACGAGTATACTGCGCGGCAGTTCGTTCCGTTCTACTATACGGCTGCGAAACATGGCCTTTAAGAGTAAAAGATACTCGTAAGTTACTATTATTTGACCAAAGGTGCCTTAGAAATATTGCTCGCATCTGCTGGGATCACCGGGTAAGTAATAGTGAGGTTAGACAGAGTATTAGGGAATGATGGTAAATCAGTTGATGAGGTTATGAATCTTCATCGACTGAGATGGTTGGGCCACGTGTTGCGTATGCCTGAACACCGATTACTACGACGCGCAATGCTAACCGGTGTTAGGGATGATTGGAAGAAAGTTAGGGGCGGCCAAACCAAAACGTGGCATCAGTGCTTAAAGTCACTAACTTCTGGTCTGAGCCATGTTGGTAGATTCAGACTTCCTGGTTGGGGTCCGCCTGACTATCGTAACCAATGGTTGGAGACTCTTGGTGACATGGCTCAGAATCGATCACAATGGCGTCGGTGTATACACTCTCTGTCTTCCTTTAAACTAAGAGATTAAAATCGCTTCATATCTTTCTTTCTAGAAACTAATCCTTTCTTCCTGTATTATATCCTTATACACAATTTTTCTTTTCTATACTACTACCTTTGATGTGTCTACTTCTATGAATCCGGTGTTCATCTTGTTGTGCTAATGCGGTATGGCAACTTGGACCGATGCATATACGTGCCTGGTCCTACGTTGCAGCTGACTGACTGACTGAATGTTGTCAAGCAGCAGGATATACTGATCTGACGTATGTAACGAGTCAAATACAGAAAATAAGCGGTTATGTGCTAATTACTCAATAATAAGGGAGTTATATCTGATGAACTAACAAAGAATAACAAGACTTACTAGTTTGAACTGCGCCAAAAACTTCGTGCCATGACACACTATATAGCAACGCGATTTACGATAGTTATGTCATTTTAAAAATCGTTGACCTCTAAAACGAACGACATGAAAATTAGAAAATACTAAAACCAAACTAGACATTTGAAAGGTTAGTACAAAGCATACAAAATTGTCTGTCAAGCTTTGTCGAAAATTCGTCCTAAATATTAAACGGCATCAAGGTAATTCTATAATTCGAATACCCGAGTATCGTTCCATAAATCTAAACAGTGAACAGTTACATAGGTCTTATCCCTATGGTAATATTGTAGACCTCATTTGACGCAAAAAAACATTCAAAGAAGGTAGCTAAAAACCCTCAAAAAATTCAAAAAAGATAAACACTTGAGCTAACACTTGTTTTCAGTAAATTAGTTGTTAGGCTATACATCTATAAAACCAAAAATATTTTAATACGGTAAACAGTATATTGGAAAGCCGATAAGTTATACATTGAAAATGGTGAATTACACGTTGGTTGTCATAAATACTTACAGAATATGGCAGTATTTAGGTTAAAAGATAGTCCCGGAAGAGGTAAGAAGGGTTTATACATTAAGGTAGTGTCAAGCTCCATACAGGACAAAAGGAAGGTCCTAGATTCCATTCCTAGAAACTACCCAACTCACTAGAACCTTTGATCGGACGAAAGTGTCAAATAAATCCGTTCAGGAAGCACACGTAAAAAAGAGACTAATTAATTGCTATCCTTCACATGAACAATGAGAAGATATAAACCCAAAATAAACTGAGTTGGTGAGTTTCATTTAGTAGATGAAAACTACATTGAAAGTAATATGAAACAGGGATGTTGTATCGTAATAATAATAATAATAATAACAATAGATAAAACATCACACGAACTAAGGAAAATGAATCTGCAGTAAAAATGCCATGACAAGTTAGGGTAGAGATATAAATAAAAGGGGATGGAAGCGTATGTTTGCTTATATTATCAGGTGGATTTAAAGATGGTGGTAACTCTAATGTGATTTGACAAACATAGGGGTCAAATACATCAGTTTTGTACAAATTTTTGGTCACTTCGAGTCGGCTTACTATAAGGAAGTTATAATCTTCAGTCTCTTGGCAAGTTACTCGGTACTAAGTGCATAACTGAAAAAGCTTTCCTCCTCTTGATATTATTTCGACTGTCTCTCTCATGGTTAATACAGGATCAATTAAAAATACCATGACTCCTGTTCTTAATTATCCCAGCCATTAATAGCAGCATATCTTTAACTCGTTGCATCAGCATAGGCTACGTTGAAATGCGGCGAAACAGCGCAAAAATATTACTTGGTAGATTTTTTGATTTGATGTGTTATATTGCCACGCTCGAACTAAAGTATTAGTTAACATGTTTAATTCTACACAGTGTCTAGCTTAGTCCGGGAATGTACACATAAAGTGTTTGAAGAACCTAAACTAACAACCAAACGTTGCAAGATGTCTCCAATTTCCCTATTATACATATGAACGACAATCATACATAAGTTCTCCGTGGAATTCTAAGCTTTTAGAAATCTCGACTTATTGGTTAGGAGAGAAAATGCTGCCAACAAGGTACATATAATGTCACATACGCCTGTAAAGATGAGTGCTATTGAATGATATATGAAAATTAAAATTTCAACAAGAAAAACTTTGTTCTTTTTGGATAGTAAATTTTATACAAGTAACACCAAGTTTCACAAAGATACAAAGATACAGAAGTACCATAAGCAACAAATTTTGCGCTGACAGTCTTCAATCTTCAGTTATAAAGATAGTTGGTTGGTAAATTTGTGTTAATCCTGACAAATCGCCTTCCAATGAAGGTCATGATTTTCTTTAAAAAATATTCACTTATGTGGCTAATACCACTTGTTTGGATAAGGCGTTCCAGTCAGTGACTACACGATGAGGAAAACAGGACAACGCGGTTTTTGAACCTTCATGCTACGACCTCGGAGATTATTAGTGCTGGAAGGAGCAAAAAGATAAGACATACTAACACCCAAATCATAATCAAACATACGAAACGCCAGTATAAGGTTGCATCGAGTTCTACGATACGACAAGGGGAAAAGGTTTAGGCGTTTTAAACGCTCATCGTAAAGGTGTTTTGAAAGACCCTTCACTAATTTTGTTCCCATACACTGTACACGATCAAGTGAGTTAGTGTCTTTTGCCAGACATTGGCTAGCTGCTTGGACACAGTACTCTAAATGTGATCTTACGTGGGTGGGATATAAAATTCGAAATATTTCCGCGTCAAAGCATTCGAATACTTGGTGAAGTGACCATAACGCGCGAAAACCTTTGACAGCATCTGGGTCATGACTTATTGGTGCTCCCAATTGTTTATGTTTTGAACGCATGGAAGAGGTTTACCATGAATAGTATGATGGTAATTATTACCGTGACATTCTTCTTAGAATTTATTTCTAAGCACCAACCTCGAGCACATCTAACTAATTTGTCCAAGTCAGCTTGGAGATCAAAATGATCGGCCTCACTTTTTATTGTTCTCTAGATTTTTACCTCATCCATAAACAATAATGACGACGGCCTAAGCAACAGCGGTAACTCGTTGACGTAGAGAAGAAAGAGCAGAGGGCCTAAGATGGTACATCGGGGTACACCACTTTTGACCGGCTTCCAATCGGATAGCGTCCCATTGACCCTCACTCTCTGTCTGCAGCCACATAAGAAGTTTCCTATCCACTCCCGTACAGCACCTATTATTCCGAAGTTCATGACCTTCTTCATGAGACCTAACTGTGAAAATTTTTGTCAAATGCTTTACCGAAATCTATGATTATCACGTACACAGACAGGCCGCTATCTAAGGCTGCTGTCCAATTTTGTCTCGCAACAAGTAAGTTGGTCAAGCATGAACGCTTGTTACGAAACCCCTGTTACACAGGAGCTAACAGATTGTGTGAACCTATGTGACCTAGCAACTTAGCCCGAGTTATCTTTTCAAGTAATATGTTGGTTAGACTGACAGGCCGGTAGTTGGATACGATCTGTCTCTGACCATCCTTTAATATAGGACTGATCATAGCATCTTTCCAATCCCTGAGAAGTTGAACGAGTGAAGTGGACATGTTGAAGTGCCGCGAGCGGTCGTGAAATAATGTTCGCAAGAGATAACAGCAGCCGTGAATATAACCCGTCAGAACCCGGTATCTTACAAGGTTTGAGGTTAGTTATCAATGGAAGGACAGTTTCCCTAGTCACCTGTACAGATTCAATGGCTGGTAACTCGGTGTGATTGGGACATGTATTTGTAACAATAAACGCAGAGTGGACTTAGTGACAAGGAAAGATGTCCATGGTACCCTCAATGATCGCCATGATTTTAAGCTCTATGAAGATGTCACAACAGAATACATTAGTGGAAAGTAGCCATGTGGTCTGTGTGAAGCATTTGAAACTCTACCATTAATTTGGGTTTCGACTAAAAAATTTTCCTAACTTCTGTCCTGTTCTTTTTTCAGCTTTTGTCGATCATCTTCACCACCATCTATAAGTGAGGTCTATGTACCAGGTGGGTTATAGACGTATTTTTTCTCGCACCCTCTTTTCCAGATATCCTCATATATACAGCTCATAACACTCCAATAGCATGCAGTGCCAGTGGAGTGTCAATAGGCCTTAACCAAGTAATCCAGCAGTTGGGTCACTGAGTGTCGAGCGGTTTACCTAACCTCTTCAAGATCAGGGGCACGTCGTGAACTGGCCTATGCGATGATGGTCGCAGTCTGTTCCTTGTATCTACTCTTACTATGATATTTCTGTAACAATGTCGTTTGTGTTGTGTGGTCATCAAAACAGTCATAGTACATGATATGTCGAAAGACTAATCTACGTTAGGTACTAACGCAAGGTGTGACTTTGACGTTAGCTGGTTGACCAAACCATTACCTTCTAACTCGTGTAGGCCCATAATCATTCGTCACGGATTATAGACACTAGTGATCTACAAGCATAATGTATATGCAGACTAAAATGGAGCCGCCACATATCGGCGTCTCATTGATCTGTTTGTTTCTGATTTAATCCAAACCATATGACAGTGGGTCATGGTACCTATGACTTGAACAATAGCTATATTAGGTCTTGTAGAATTATGGTCTACTATGATATTAGCACTGTTCTAATAATAGACCTAATCCTAAAATTGTAGATTTTTCATGATGTAACTGTCTAATCTATAAGATCTTACGTGGAAGCTACATCATCGTCTACACCAATTCATTGCATTGTAACAATTACCAATACGTGATAGGGAACAAGCTTAGGCTAGAGATGGAACAATATATTTAATATGAATAAAAGACATAACGTAACATTTAGCAAGAGGGACCACGCCTGCATGGTCGAGCCATGCCATAAGATTAACTCGTATTAATTCAATTCACTGTTCCCGCCTTTCTTCATTGTTCGGTATTTCCCAGCGTTTAATGTTGAATGTCTATTTTCCAGTTTGTCTCGTGTTATGGCTCAATGCCACTACACTACTCTCCCACCAGAATCAGCGTGACGTTGGTTCGATACCAATTTGAGTGGGATTGTCGCCCGCTGGAGGTTACCAAGAATAATACGAACCCTCCGGGTATTGATGAACTGAAAGATGAATCAAAAAGAAGGAGGCAGAATCTGGTCGGGAAATACATGTAACAATTTTAAAACGTCTGGTTTAATGCCTTACACGCTTAGAATGAAAATTTAGGTAAATATTATTCGAGCTTAGCAAAGTGGGATTATAATAATAAAATGATTCAGTATAAGGATATTTTAATAAAGTTCCGTAAGATACGTAGTGATATCCGTAGGTTAATAACATTTCCTGTTTAGGAATATTAAAAACAGCCAATATTAGAGAAATGTTAAAAGTGGTATTATATTTGGTCTAAATTATGAAATCGAATAACGTATGTGCCGGTAAGTTGTCCATGCGTTGATTTCCAATTGCATCTGTATTAGTAGGCTAACTGAAAGA